CGCAATATATTTATGTTTATATAATTCATTTTTAATTAGGAAACCGAAGAAAAATAGAACATCTGGCGCAACACCGGCCACCTTGACAGGATCAGGATCCTTCAACTTCAAAGGGTAGTGCGGCGAGTCTGTGAATTGGGCGTTTAATTACGCCCGCTTTGGTTGCGACGTCTGCGACTCGAACCTTGCCGTTTAGCCCTGGAACGATTGCGGTGACGCGGCCGAGCACCCACTGCTGAGGTGGCACGTTGTCCTCCTGAACCAGGACGAGGTCGTTGAGCTGCAGATTGCGCTGCGGGTAGAGCCATTTGTTGCGCTCCTGAAGGCCCGTCAGGTAGTTCTTGGACCACTGTCGCCAAAACTGTTGCTTGAGACAGCAAACAAGTTGCCATCTGTCGCAGCAACGCATGGGTCCGTTGGCACCTGCGCTGGTGGTAGCGCCCGCAGTGGGCATCCAATTAGCAGATGCGCTGGTGTTAGCGCCTCGCCGTCGTTGGGGTCCTGGCTCATCGGTGTGAGTGGCCGAGAGTTGAAAATCGCCTCTAGTTCCGCGAGCAGAGTTTGCAGTTCTTCGGCGGTGAGCAGCGCGTTGCCGATTGCGCGCACGAGAAGGTGTTTGGCGGACTTCACTGCCGCTTCCCACAACCCGCCGAAGTGCGGCGCCCTGGGTGGTATAAAGTCGAAGCTGAATCCTTCGGTCGCCGCGTATTTCTCTATCTCTGGGTGATGGTCTAGGAACGCTTCTCTCAGTTCGCGCAGCTTGCGGTCGGCGCCGACGAAATTGGTGGCGTTGTTGCTGTATATCTTCTTCGGCATCCCTCGGCGTCCAATGAACCTTTTTAGGGCGAAAATAAAACAAGTAGAAGACAAGTCTGTCACTAGTTTCAAATGTACTGCTTTGGAAGTGAAACAAACGAACACTGCGATATATGTTTTTACTGGCGGTCGACCGCGTATTTTTAGTGTCGTACATACGGGACCACAAAAATCTACTCCACATATAAGAAAGGGTCGTAGAGCGCACAGTCTCTCGGCAGGCAAATTTCCCATTATTTGAGTTTGCAGCTTCGGCTTATAATGAAAGCAATGTAAGCAGTTTCGCACGGTGCGACTACAAGCTTCTCGAGCGTTAATCAACCAAATTCTTTCTCGTAGAAGCGCCACCAAAGCTTTTGCCCCAGCATGGTGATTGCGAAAATGTAGGTACCGTAAATATGCTTTAACAAAGTGCGAGTTCTTGCTTAAGAGCAATGGGAAATTGGAATCATATGGGAGAGGCGCATTCAATAGGCGTCCTCCTACTCGGAGTAAGTTAAACGAAAGCGATAGTTCCGAGTAGTCGTGCAGAAATGGGTTAAGTTTCTGCACGCTTGCGGGTAAGGTGGTACCTTTGGCGAGTTTTGAAATTTCTTCGCCAAATTCTGTATGTTGAACCACCTGGACAATTTTGAGAAAATTCAAGTTTAATTCTTCCGCCGTCAGTTCTTTTGTGAATTTTGATGTTGGGTTCTTTGTGCGTCTGATCCACCTCAACATATATGCGACAATACGAAGCTGCTTTTTATGAGGAGAGAACTTTTCGATAAGATCCATGATCGAATTGCGCTCAGCAGTCTGAGTAATCAAAACACTTGCATTTTTCTTCTTCTCTAGTGCTTCGTTTTCTGGAGA